CATGACTCCGCACAGGTTCTATCATGATCGAGGAGCTCTTTTGTATAGTACCGCATTTTACCAGGTGGCTGGAACATCTCCCCGAGTCCGTTGGTCCTCTCGCCTCCTGGGGCACCAATCTTCTGTCCTTACAGTTGGAGCATTCGGATGGGCTTCTCTAGATATTTTACTATCGTTACTTTACCGCTGCCTTTTCCGCTGTTCGACTGTGCCCTTGGAGCCACCTCGCCTTGAAGACCAGCTGGGTCTTCGGGGTGCGAGCCAGGACTTCCTGTGTCTTCTCGCATAGTGAAGCTCCTACGATTCCGTCATTCGCTTTTTGCTTACCTAAGCCGCACGGAGCACTTTGCACAATAGGGGTGTTGATATCTTATATCTTCTCATACAGGCACCTCGCTCCAACTAGGGTTCTAATTGTGGCGCGTATACGATGCAATCTCCTTGTCACTTGATTCTAGCCATGTCTTCTAGTAAGTGGACTGTGAAAGGGTACAAAACTGCTGATGAACCGCTGTTTAACGAGTTTCGAGACGTTTAGACCTACTGTTCTCTTATGGTGCGTTCGCTTTAGAAGGTGAAAGTTTCGCATTGCCATTGTTTGATCGGATCCACGATAAACGGCTCGGCCTAACTATGAGGCGTGAGGCAGATCATATAGTAGTCGAGCATACTTGAGTTGCGGTGAAACAGGCCTAGTTGAGTACCCAGTTAAGAAACAACTGAGGGCTAATATACACACTGCTACATTGCAAAAGGCCTCTACAAACGGCTACATAGACCTAGCATTTCGTCTAGAAATAATAGAAAAGCTGGGGGAACTTAAGGGGCCATATTAGAATTGGTCGTTCTTCACGACGACTGTCTCTTTGGCATAGGGTGATTCGTCGCAGTGTACGAGTTTGCTGCCATTCTGAAGACCAGGGATCGGCTGCAGAGCTCGCAGGGTGTAGCTGTCATTCTTTGTTCTACACAGTTCATTGCCTATTTGTGTCACTGGGCAGGAAGTGTTTGGGGAGAATTTGATACTAAATTTTTATGAAAATATTCATCGGCTGTAGTCTGACGGTCTAAAGGTGGCGGAGTTCCTTTCAGGAGCAAACCGTTAAAATCGAAGACATTAACTTATTGGCGCACGTAGCGGTGCTCTTTGCATGCAAACGGATATAAAGTGGGAGAAACTGGGGCGTACGCTGGAGCTGCAAGCTCAGTTCCCAGCCCTGAACGTCCCGATCTGACTGCGAGCAGTGTTCATTCCCTCGACGAAACGTGCGTACATCAATTCAGAAGGCGAAGTCCGCTCACAAGGATGCCCGAAGGAACAGGGTGAAACGATGCGTTTTGGGGTCAGAGGATGCCCTTACTAATGGCTGCGGTCTGTCCGTTTCCTCAGTGAACTCGGTCAATCTTTTTAGTAGGCCCTACCTGTGCTGCATTTGGGGGTGTCTAGGGCAATGTACATTACTACATCACAGCGCGGAGCCACTTCATCTATTAAAGATTATTCAATCAACACGCAAACGATAGCTCTATGGTGGAGCTACAGTGTGCCAGTTTTTTCCCCTAGTAAGTTGCTCATGCAACATTTCCAGTGCTATTTTGTGCATCGAATCAACGATCCAGGCACACCTTGTGGATCGCTGCACTTTCACGAAAATTTATTGATATATTTTGCTTATAATTCTTTCAAACTACAGCAGCATTTATTCGGTAAGAGTGAATGGACCATCAGAACTGCTTACTCCGGCGGTTAGGCGCGGAGACATACGGCAACGAACTTATACAGGCAATAGGAAAGGGCCTACTTCCTCTGACGCAATGAAATGGGGCCCCGAAAATGCAAAAACCGCCCGCCTGCATAACAGCGCAGTTGTGGAGTCTTCAGATTTTAGGGGGCAGCGCAGAATGCACGCCGGCGCCAGCGGTCCGAATCACGCTCCCGCCCGCCGACCGCCAGAATAGGGGGTTCTCTCCTCCCTTTCCCTTCTTGAAGCAGCAAAATTTTATTAATTTTTAGGTTTGAATATTTGTTAAAAGTCAGACAGAGCTTTGTGCCCCGCCAGCTGCCGAAGTTTCCGTCTCTTTCACTTTTTTTTAAGCGACAGACGTCGCCGGTCCCCTGACCAGAGCTGGCGCCGACCGCTGCACTGTCATTGAAGCATTGCATATTTGCTAGTTTCCAAGCCTGAATTAATTTGTTTCGGGCTGACATTTTGAAAGTAAAAAATGCAGATCAGAAAGAGCCTCCTAGCTCTGCTTCTAGTAGGGAGCGCCGCCTACACGGTGGCGACACCGGCAACAGAGGACCTCAGTCCTCTACTGGTTGAAGAAACGGACTCCAAACCCCAAACTGGCAAGCCCGTGATCAAAGCCTCAGCTGAAGAGACTCATTCGGCTCCACCGCAGGTGCTTGGTGATGGCACGCGTGCGGTCGCAGCTGATGGAACAGAAGTAACAGAAGTAGAGGCCGCCTTACAGCCTGTGCAAACGGAACAGCAAAGCACACCACACGATGTACAGAAAAAACTCGATGCTGATATCAGCCCCTTGCTAGGCTCTGGTGCATGTAAAGGCCGCATGCTGGTGCTTCTTGGCGTGGTTCTCCTCGTTACGGGCGTTAGCCTATCTCTGGCAGGGAACAAAAAAAGCAAAGTGATGCGAACTGCGCAAACCTCGTTCGAAACCACTCTACAACAGTCCGTAGAACTAATGGATAAACTAGGGGTTAAATCGGCCTCAAAGATGGCCTTTGGGTGCATCCTCGCAGGTCTCATTGAGCTGGCCCGCAGCCTCAGGGCCAACCAGAATGGGCAAACAGGCAACAAAGCCCCAACCTTGAAGGGCCGTCTAACACTGTTCTTTGGTGCGCTTGCCCTGCTGGTCACCATGTCTGGGGCGGGTGTCGATCTCTCATCTCTGAATGTGGGTGAACTCTTCAAGGTCCTCGGAGAATACATATCCAAGACGCACCTCGGGCTTTTTGCCACAGGAGGCACCACCCTCGTTAAGAGCATATATGACATCGTGGCTTACCAGCAGCAGCAGAACCAGCTGCAACAGGCAGGCAGTGACACTGCAGCACGCGAATCTGAAGTCCGAGGAACCGTGGACAAGTCTCAAACTGCTGCACCGGCTGATGAGACTGTCAATGCAGAATCCACGGCCCCAGGTGAGAAAAACACAGCTGGGCAAGCTAATGCTGCAAATGTGCTTAAGGAAGAGGCGACAGGGGAAGAAGCACCAACGGGAACCCCAGAAGCACAAGAAGAGAACCCCGCTACTCGGTAAAAACTTGCTGTTGCCAAGGCTTCGGAGGCAAGCGCCGCACAACCTTAATTCGCTTTATCACAGCTTTTCAAACAGCCAACATAACTAGCAACGGAAGTGGGGGATCCAGTGGCGTCTTGTGGAAACTAGGAAAGTGTGCAAAGTTCTGTTGACGGCGCTGAGACTCGGGAAACGGGTGCTGCTGATAAGGAGGTAGCAGTCGCTAAGGAGCTCCGAAAATACCAGAAACTGCAGCAGAGGACCTTGGAGAATAGAACTGGGTGTTACAGGGAATACAGAGCAGTCCCTCATTTGATCCTGCAACTGAGCTCGGTGCAGCGAATATCGTTGGACGAAATACCCTCGCCTCTCCGACAGCGCAGTAAAGGGACGTTTTGTGGCAAGCGGTGGAACCCAAATTTCTGCCCGCAGGCTTTTTCACACGTGGTTTGAGAATAGAAGTAGATATGGAATTGAAACATGACGGGAATACGGTGCCGAAATATACCACAGTGCGCTGCATTACTTCTAAAAGGAGTCTGGACTTCACCAGTCTTGCAAAAGCGACAACGCAGTTTTTGTCTCTGCTGCCTGGCTTCTTTGTCTATTTGTGAAGAATCCGTGGCATGGCGAAATCTGTTTTAATTACTGTTGTGTAGTACCATATTAGTATGCTCGATATGCCTGGTCAAGATGTGTATACTGAAACGACAATGCATATTTGTTCGTGCTTGAATTTTCAGTTTGCCAGCAATATGAGCAGGGTGTACTGGCATGTCATGCTATGTCTCCCCCTTAGTTGATTACCTTCGCCACCAAAAATGCCGAAAATCAAACATATGTGAAATATAATTTGTGTGCGTTTTGTACCGAGCTCAGTAGAGCGTGCGCAGAATCCTGGTAGATACAAATCCTTTAGTAGGTGCAGCGTACGAAGGAATTCTATGCAGACAATCCAAGTATATCGCAAGTATGTATCATCACAATCTAACGTAGTACTTCCTAGGCATCTACAGGACAGCATGCCCAAACGTAATAGCATGCATACACATGTGTAAGCTGTATCAAGCTTCTCAAACGTGGCGACTACCCAATTCTACTTCGAAGCACCTGAGGAGTGCCCGACAAGAAATATAGACACTTACCGTAAACTGAGGGGTGTCAGAGCCACATCAGGAAACTATCTGTAACGCTTGTAGTTTAACAGACGTGCCATGTGCTTGAATCCAGTCCCACAAGACCTTAAACCTTAGATATGAGGCCGGCCTCTTGAAGTGTCCAAAATCATTTATGCTCTGCCATGGATTTCACTGGGAATGGAGTCCAGTAAAGATAGGATTGGAGCTGCCTACATTTCAACATCTGACAAGATTAGCCAGCGCCACCTCATAAAAATTATTATGCCCACTACAGGGCTCAAGATATGCCAGGCATACAGTCCCCAAATAATGAAATGTGAAACCCTCAGGCAGATGAGCTGTGCAGCCGCATTTAGTTCTAGTGAATCTTCAAAGCTGCGTCAAGCGGAGATATCATGCTAACTGGCCACAAAGTACACACTTTGAGTATCCGAATAGTTAGGCGCACTTGTAATGCTTGCACACTCTCTGAGAGCACGTTCTGCTGAAGAGGTCACATAAAACTTAGATAAGGCTGAATATCGCGTTCATATATTCCTTAATGGGCTACCTTGAGCAGGCACTTCCCCCCTTTAATAAAACATAAATTTTCACCAGATGCAGGTGAACCGGGGACGTAAGGTACCCAGCATGCAAACTGACAGCTCATTCTACAGCTGACTGCAAATGAAAAGAAGCAGCATCTCTTAAGAATCTTGTTGCTGCGTTTCGCTCTTAGCCCAGCGCAGCGTTGACGCGCCGTTTAGAACAGCACCGTCAGCCCTGCTTGCTAGTTGAACAGCCCATTAAGTGGAAAACAGACTCTGCAGGTGACTGGAAATCATTGTGACCTAAAAGCTGGATTCACGTGTTGAGCAGATCTGTCTGTCATACCGACGTTGCTCACCAGGGACCATTTCGCAGCAAGGTCCTTCGAGTCTCGAGTCTCGATATGAGCCGGGCCGTCGGCGGCTGAGGCGGGCCGCAAATTTCCACGTGATCAGAATGTATTAGTTTTTCTTCAAGCTCTTCATTGTATTTTATCTTTTTAGTGACAGCAAAGCCCCAGGGGACTTTTTCCTGCCCTGCAAGCTATAAGTCACCCCCCTCATGCACGAGCTTGCAGTGAGCGAAACAGCTGCGGTACTCACATAGTGTTTACTGCCTTCCTTCAACTCCCTAACTTGGTTTCTGGTGTTTGCTCAACTCTACATTGTAAGGTCGCCACCGAGCCGTATAGGGGGGCCCTCATGTGCATCTGGGCCAGCAGAAGCCAAGGGAGCAGTTAGCTCTCTCGGGCAGAGCACCCACCACGAGTTGGTAGAGCCTTGGAACAATATCTTAGACAAACGTTCACGCCATATTCTTCTGACCATGCCGGAACCTCGCAGAGCTCTTATTACGGGGATTACGGGACAGGATGGCTCGTGAGTTCAGGTGCTGCCAAAGCTGATGTCAGTTCCAAGGAAACTGTGCGCTGGACTTGTTGACAGATCACTGTAAATTCCAATAACGTGCTAAGGCTAAACCTTTTCGCGGGCTGCACCACATCCTGTGCGTGGACCGCTTCTGGGCGGCCACTGATTCTGTGACTCATTCCTTTGCGATTGCTGGTGGTTGTCTTGCAGCTACCTCAGCGAGCTGTTGCTGCAGAAGGGATATGAAGTCCACGGCATCATTCGTCGCAGCAGCACTGTGAACACTGAGAGGCTACTTCCAGTATCACAAAGTACGAGTCAGCCATTCGCCGCAATCGCTGCGCGAGAGTTTGCCTCCCGAAGAGGCGGCCCTCTACATGAGCTTCCAGCTTCACTCAGGCTTTTGCCAACCTATTCACCCGCCCATATATGCGCGACCCATTTCCTCAGGAATTCACCTGCACTTTGGCGACATGGTGGATTCGTCATCCCTGTTTGACATAATCTCTCGTGTTCGTCCTCATGAGGTGTACAATCTAGCCGCTCAGGTTTGTCGTTTGCAGGAGATCCGTGCTATTACTCCAGTTTGTATTGTCATTTTGGTCTTACGATGCAGTGTTGCTAAAGAGATGCAGATGGATCTACGCTGCGTGTTGTGCAGAGCCACGTCAAGGTCTCATTTGAAATGCCTATACACACCACCGACGCTACGGCAGTTGGTGTTCTGCGCTTGCTGGACGCCATTCGGGCTGCTGGCCTCGCACAAAGGACGCGAGTGTGAGCGTAAACTTACTCTCAGCGAGCTTAGTGTTTGTTTCGATGCACACTCCCGAAGAAGCAACGTGCGGTGTCCGAATTCTGCAGAACCACTGGCTACTGGCCCTTTTGTTGCATGCCTATACAAATCTGAGCACCTAGTGTCCATTCGCCACAGGGCTCTTTTCAAGCCACACGCGTCTGTAGCTGACGATCTGGGGGTAACAGACGCGTTAGTGACAGTATTGCGCGCGTGTACGTGGGACAGGTTTCAGGCGTCATCTTCCGAAATGTTTGGGTCAAGTGACTGGGATCTACAGAACGAAGATACCCCATTCAAGCCTTGTTCGCCTTACGGTATGCCGATGTTCTTAAGAACGGGGCGCTGACAAGCCCGCCCTTTGCCCTACAAGCTATGTGTATAGCGAAATTCACCCTTGACAAAGCCAGTGTGGGCATCTTTCTTCGTTGTTCTCCACAGGTGTCTCTAAGCTCTACGGGCACTTCACAGTGCAAACGTACCGGTCGGCTTACGGAATGTTCTGTGTTAGTGGCATTCTTTTTAACCACGAGAGTCCCCGAAGAGGAACAACTTTTGTTTCAAGGAAGATCACAATGGGCATAGCTAGCATCTTGAAAGTAAGCTCTCTGCGACATAGGACTGTTGCGCCCTGGGAAGGAGCTAGAGAGGTTATCCTTTTCCCAAGCGCCACTCTCCCTTAACACTATTTTTTCACGTATTGGGGAACCCCAGGACGTGAAAAAACATTGTTATGGGCTTATTGTGTCTTTTGAATTTTGCCAGCCTTCAGTGCGCCTAGGTCTCTTACTTGCAATAACATGGTCGTAAACATTTCTGTTCACCGCATTTTGGGTCTTGCCTGCAGGGAGAGATAGACTGTCTTGAACTGGGTAACTTAGAAGCTCGGAGAGACTGGGGTCATTCGCGCGACTACGTGAAGAGCATGTGGATGATGTTGCAGCAACCGACCCCCAAAGATTACGTCGTTGCTACAGGCAAGTAGCTCTCCATTCGACTTTTTAGCAAGTGAAAGAAAAATTCTGAAAAGCCTACTTTTGGCGGGGACTTGAAGTGCTTGGGCATCGCAGGTGTTTGCAAGTGCTGCCATGTACTTTGCACAGGAAAGCAACATTCAGTCCGCGAATTCTGCCAACTGGCCTTCGCCATTGCGGATCTTCCCATTGAGTGAGCCTGCTGATAATGCCATACGTTGCCTGCACAAAGCAAGCTCTCTCTTCAGCACAGTTGAGCTTCTCAGTTGCTTGTGCTTGTCAGTTTTCTTGCTTTTCATGAACTACAGGTCAGTGAAATTGTTTCTGTCTGTGTTTGTCCCTGTAGGTGGAAGGGTAAAGGCCTAGAGGAGGTAGGCACATGCGGGGGCCGAATACTTGTGCGCGTGGCCTCTGCACATTTTCGTCCCACAGAAGTTAATGCTTTGAAAGGAGACGCATCAAGAATTCGTAAAGAACTAAAGTGGCAGCCCGATACAACTTTCTCAGTAAGTGCCCAATCAGCTGCAGCACGCAAAGCAGTGGGACAGGCAGCCGCAGCGGAAGCAGCAGTCTCAACTATAGCTCCGGCAACGGAACATTTATGTTGTTGTTTCCGTGGCCACCGATTTTGTTTTCTTCTCTAAATGATCGGCCGTTGCCTCCTTCGCTGTTGCTGTGGTGCTGTGCCTCAGGCCTTGGTCTATGAGATGCTGCAGAGCGATATGCGCCTAGCGGGCTTAAGCCCTCCAACTCCAGCGGAGTGCAACAAACGCATTTCGAAGCATATGAAAGATCCTGCTGACTTGCTGCTAAAGTAGCTGCTGTGCTTCTGTGGCCGTTGCACTCGATACGGCTTACGCAGCACAGCATAATTACAATAGGCAGTCCGGACAGTGCACCCGTTATCATGAACTCAGTCTAGAGCAACAAACAACACAAAAGAGTGTCCACCTCGGATTTCGCACAATATTCTAGTCTTTTGTGTCCTGTCAAGATAAGGTGTGGCAGCAGCAACTGCCGTACCACCTCGGCGGCCCAAAGACAGCCGCTTCTCTCTGCTCCTCACAGGTTTTAGATATTTGTGCTCACCACATTGTCAACGTGAACCCCATCAAGCATTTTTACAATGATGCGTGCCGACCTGTCTTACACCCCGAGTATACGTACCACAGTAAACAAGCACAGAGCAGCAGCCACCATGTAACCACGTAACCAATAATAGCTACCGCAAACAAGCACAGAGCAGCAGCCACCATGTAACCACGTAACCAATAATAGCTACCTTTGGCAACATCAGCAGCCGCTGCTGCTGTTGCTAAGACTACTAGCTTTCCCATGATCAGGTGCAAATATACACTATTTCGCGTCTGCACGTAAAACCCCTGCTCATACTTGAGTCGCCCTAGGCAAAAAAAGGAATAAGAGCAGCAGTGCCCCGGCATGCCGCTACTGCAGGAAGTTAATTCTGCAGCTGCGGCAGCTGCTGCTGTAGGAGTTCCAATTTAGAGCCACAGCAGTTGAGTACTACTACAGCGGCTGCGCTGCAGTGACTCCTTGTAACTGCTGAGTCTTCTGCTTCTGTTTAAGGCGCTGCAGAAGATCGGCCAGCAGCTGCTGTAGTGCCACAACTCGCTGTTGCTGCACAAAACAACGCAGTAGTAGCAACCACGGACCACAGTCAAAACGAAAGTAGGAGATTATTGTCGTTCTCGACAAACTCAAGTCGCTAGCGGAGCACAGAAAATAACACATACACTTGCGGTTTCGTTGCCTGCACTAATGGTGGAAATCGCGCTGCAGCCTTTCTGCTCACCGCTTCCTGCACATCTTGCTGGTGGCCCCCCCTCGGTACTGCTACCACGCTGGTGCTGCACGATGCAAGCTGCTGCCTTAGTGTGCAGTTCTCCTGCAGAAGCTGCTGCTGCTGCTGCAGCGCGGCATTAGCCTGCTGTAGCAGCTGTATGTACATTTCAGGCCTCGGCGACCACGCAGGAGGCGCTCTCAGCTGCTGATGCTCTAAAAGCTTCACAGCATTAGTGGGCACAATGGCCTCCTCCAGCCAAGGCTGCTGGGGGAGTGGTGGGGCAGCGACTGCAGCAGCAGTGGCGGCGGAATCAGCCTGCCTCTGCTGCAGCTGCGCTTGCTGCAGCGCATGGCGGCTTTGTGGAAGAAGAGTCTGCTGCTGCTGGTTGGCTTGCTGTTGTAGCTGCTTCAGCTGTTGTTGCGCTTGCAGAAGCTGCTGTTTCAGAAGCTGCGCCGTTTCCTTAAGGCGTCTCTTCTTGTCTTGCTGGTGCTGCAGGCGTTTGAGCAATGTTGCATAGTGAAAAAATAGAAACGTCGGGTCGGTTTGCTGCAGGCGCACAAAAAGCATGCATTAAGGTACCACTCGTTTGATTGTTGTTGCTGCTGCCGCTGCTGCTGCTGCTGCTGCTCCTGTGACTTTTCGCGAGTTTTAAGTGTGCAGAGGATACCTTTGCTCTCAGCAGAAGAGTGGCTCCATCAATAAAGGCGCCAGCTGCTGCGGCCTCTCTCTGTTGCTCCACCAGTGCGTTCCCCTGCTGCTGCAGGTGACGCTGCTGCTGCTGTGCACCGGACAGTAGCAGCCATGCGCTGATTGAGTCCGAGCGACGGACGTGGCACCCTACGCGCTGAAGTGCTGCTTCGAAGTCTTTAAAACCCACTCTTTGGAGACCGTGAAAAGCAGAAGGAAAAACGAGAGAGACGAGGGCTCTAAGCTGCTGCTCCTGCTGCTGCTCCTGCTTCTGTTGTATCTGCTGCTGGTGTATACTCAACAGGGAATCAGAATATGTCAGCTCACACAGCTGCCAAAAAGCAAAAAGAGTCCCCAAGGCGCAGTTCTCCTGATGCAGCAGCGGGAACAAGGGACCACGAGCCGATATCACTGCCCTATCGCTGCTGGTGTTACTGCTCTTGCTGCTGCTGCTGCTAGAGGTATTACTGCTGTCAGGGTTGTTCCCGCTACTTCTGTTCGCTGCAGATATACATTTGCCGGAAGGCGCGCTGCTGGTCACAGGCTTGAGTCTCGCTTGGTAGTAAGCCCGCTGCGAAACTACTTGCTGCTCCAGTGACTTAATGCGACTCTGTACAGCAACACAGACCGCACCCACGGCCATATATAGTGCAGCTACGCAGCCGCTGCTGCGCAGCAGGTGCTGCTTGGCACTTGTTGCATGCACAAGTGCAGCTGCATGACACTGCCACATACCTGCAACAGGCGCTCCTTTGCTGCTGTGGCACAGGTTAGCTGCTTGAGCCTCTGCAGTAGTTCTTCCCTATCGTTTTTCTCTTCTGACTCCTTCTCTTCAACAGCTGTTGCTGTCGTTTCAGCCGCTGCTGGAAGTAGGCTTTCGCGTGTCTGTAGAGGGCTGTCACGCCGCTGCAGTACAGAAGAACTGCTGCTGGTGGTGCTCATATCCCCCTCGTTGCATTCAGTTTCGCCGCGAGCCCTTCCCATAGACCGTAGGAGCCTGAAGAGCAGCAGTAAACGAAGAAGGCTCCACTAGAAAGACAAGGACGCAGTAGCAGAAGCAGCAGGCTGACACGCACGGGACCACTGATATTTACAATTCACGAGAACAGCAGCAAGCAGCCCCGCAGACCCTTAACCCTAAGCTCAATTCATACTTCTGGAATTCTGTGTCTTTGGCAGCAATTAACTTTTCAAAATGATCCCGCTGCCGCTTGAGCTCCTCTTCCAGCTGAATGCGCTCCCCCGCAGCCTTTGCTTCCTGGCACACAAACCGAGAAAAAAAGCAGACAAATGCTGCACCCACCGTGCAAGCGAGAATGCTTGAATCTGCAGCAGCTCCTGGTGTCAGGAAGAATCAAGTGTGACTAGAACTGTCTAGAATTGCTCTTCATGTGTCCGACTAAGGCCCTCACAGCACAAATGACCAGCTCGTGCAAATCCTTCAGCTCCTTCGCCACTGCAACAGTATTTTGCTGCTGCTGCTGAGCGTCCTGATCTGCACCGCCTTCATGCGCGCCCCGTTGTTGCTGCTGCCGCAGCTGCTGCTCTGCCTCTGCAAGGGCCGCCGATGCGAGCCGGGAGCGCATCTCCAGCTCTTCCTGAAATGAAGAGCAACAACAGAAACGACGTGTCAGTGGCAGGGCAGAACTTTCGGGGGACGACTGAGAGACAGAAGCAGCTTTTAGAGAGGAACAAAAATGTCATGCTCACGTGAAGCAATGCGTTGTCGTGCTCTGCTGCCTCCAACTTCAGCCGCTGCTGCCTGTGGATCTGCTGCAGCTGCTGCAGCTCATCCTGTTTTGACGAAAGGAGGAATTCAAGACGCTGCAGTTGCTGCTGCACTTGCTGCTGCTGCTGTTGTTCCCGATGTTGTTGCTGTTGGTGCTCTTCCTGCTGCTCTTTCAGCCGCTGTATTAGACAACAAAGAGTGCACAGAAGCATACCTCGAAAGCAAAAGGATTTACGGAAAAACAAGACCTATGCGACGAGCTGCTGCGGCAGCAGCGGGAGGTGCTACGATTGGTGGTGTTGCACACAGAGCTGCTGCTGCAGTACTGCGTGCTCATCTCTGTAGAGGTCCTTGCCTGCGTCAGCTGCACGTTTTCCGCTTCGTAACTGCGCTGGATCTTCTCAAGGTTGTCCAACTCCCGCTGCATGGCCGATACTTGCTGCAGTAACTCCTGGTCAGTGCTGCGGCCCTCTGGCTGCTGGTGCTGCGCTAGGCCTGCGACGAAACACGCACATCTGAGGCTGCAGAAGTGTTGCTGCATCAGCAACAAATAAGACAGTGCGGCAATAGCAACGACGAAGCACGCACATCTGAGGCTGCAGAAGTTTTGCTGCATCAGCAACAAATAAGACAGTGCAGCAACAGCAACGCTCTCTTGTACCTGTTTGGCTGCCTGCCCGGTTTTGCAGCTCCTCTTGCAGCCTTGCCTTCTCGCTTCGGAGCTCTAGCAGCTGCTGCTGCTGATGCTGGAGCACGTCTTCCTGCTGTTCCAGGAGCTGCTGCTGCTGCTGCATCTGCTGCACAAGTTGCTGTTGCTGCACTTGGTAATTTTGAAGCCTCTGTTGAAGGGGCCCAGGAGTTCCACGGATCGCACTCCCCTTTGCTGTGTCTCTGCTACTGCTACGGCTACTACGGCTGCTGCAGCTGCTATGGCTGCTGTCACGTCTGTCTGTTCGGTGCTTCTGCTGCAACCTCGCAGCCATCCTTAGCTCTCTGTGAAGTAACAATTTACGTTCTCGCTGCATTAGCACTTGCTGCTGTTCCTGCTGCAGCTGTTGCTGCTCTTGCAACAGCGCTTGCTGCTCCTGCTGCTGCTGCAGCTGTTGCTGCAGCATCCGGAAGTGAGCCTGCTGCTGCTCTGCAACGGCCTGCAGTTGCGTGCGTTCTTTTGACAGTAACTCCTGCTGTTCCGTGAGTTCTGCATCGAGTTGTTGCAGCTGCTCTTGCTGTTGCTGCAGCAGCTGCTGATCTTGTTTCAGCTGCTTCCGTTGTTGCTGCAGATCTTCACGCTCCCGTTGTTCCTGCAGTAGACTCTCAAGCCTCCGCTCTAGTGCCAGTATGTCCTTTTCGTGCTGCTGGTGCTGGTGCTGCAGCTGCTGCTGGGCGGCCTGTAGCTGCTTTTCCTTCTTTTGCTGCTCTTCCTGCTGCTTCCGCAGCTGATCCCGCTGTTTATTAAGTTTTTCCTGGTGCAACTGGAGGTCCTCCTGTTGCTGCCGCAACTGCTGCTCCTTCTGCTGCTGTTCTAGTCGCTGCTGCTCAAGTTTCTGCTGTTGCAGTTGCTGTTCCTGGAGCAGCTGCTGCGCGCTTTTCTCTCTTTCCTGCAGCGAAGCTTCTCTATGATAAAGCCCCTCATCATCTACCAGTTCCGCTATGTCCTTTTCGCCACTGGAAGCTCTTTCAAGCTGCTGCTGCAGCTGCGCGCTCTGTTGGCTTTGCTGCTGCTTGTTAAGCTCTTCCTCCCTCTTCTGTAGCTCACGCTCTTTGGCGAGGAGAGACTGCTGCAGGAGCAGCTGTTGCTGCTGCTCTTGATCCAGCAGGCGCTCCTTCTGCTGTAGAAGACGGGCGCGCAGTTCGGCTTCCATACGGCTCGCATGGGACTGTTGCTGTTGCTGCTGCTGCTGTTGCTGCTGCTGCTGTTGCTGCTGCCTCTCGCGCTCGAGCTGCTGCTTCAGATCGCGAACCTGAGCAGCGTAGCTATCTTGCGTCTCTACCAACTGTTGCAGCTCATCTAACTGCTGCTGCTGTGCGCTTATTTGCTCCCGCTGATCTTCTATTAGGGAATTTTGCGCCTCAACTAGCTGATGCTGCTGCTCTATCTGCTGCTGGTGCTGCTGCAGCTGCCGTTGCAGCTCCTCCAAATGCTGCTCTTGCTCTTCAACCTGACGTTGCTTTAAGGTCAACTGCTGCTGCATCTCTGCCTGCATTTGTTCTGCTTGCTGCTGTTGGGCTGCAGCGTGTTTCTTAAGTGTATCCAGCTGCTGCAACAGCTCTGCATGCTGCTTTTCATGTTTCTGCTGCATTTCCGTTTGCTGCTGCTTCCGCTTCTCTTCCTCTTCCTCGAGGAGCTGCTGCTGCTTACTCTGCTGCTGCAGTTGCTGCTGTAGCTCGGCCTGTGCAGATTCCGCCTTGTTCACAGCATCCTGCAGCACTGACTGGGCGTGGAGCTTCTGCTGTTGCTGCTGTTGAGCCTCAGCAAGCTGCCGCTCCGCCTCGGCAAGCTGTTGCTGCAGCAGCAGCAGCTGCTGTTGCTGCTGTTGCTGCTTTGCCGCAAAGTTGCTCTCGCACTGCTGCATGCACCTGAGGAGCTCCTCTTTCTCCGAACGCAACGCACTCAGTTCCTGATCTCGCTGCTGCTGCTCCTGCTGCAGCAGCTGCTGCTGCTGGCGAAGCTCAATTTGCAGGGCGTAGACATCATGCAGCTGCGTAAACTCCGAGTCGGGCTGGCTGTTGCTCGAGTCCAGCTCTTCTTGCTGCTGCTGCTCAGAAAGGAGGAGCTGCTGCTGCTGCGGCAGGTGGCTGTTGTTGCTGCTGCCTCTGCGAGTGAGGCCAGCTCCAGCAACATGGGAAGCTGTGGCCTTCAGCTTACATCCCCAGGCCGTCGCTGCGAAGGCCTCCACTTCTGCTGCTGTTGTGCTGCCTTCTTGTGCTGCAGCAGACCTCTCCAGTGTACGTACACTCGAAGCAGCCGTCTCTAAAGAAGGGCCTTCGAGGGGCGCCCGAGCAGCGGGGGAAGGGAGACATATATCTGGGGGGAAAGAAGGGAAAAACTCAGAAATCTGGTCTACATCTGCTGCTGCTGCTGTTGCTGCTGCTGCTTCAGTTGCAGCTGATGCATCTACAGTTGCTGTGCGCTCTTCTTCCTCCAGCCCTGAGGGCAGAAGGACCCTCGGCTGTCTCTCAAACAACCGGTGGTCTAAATTGCCATCCTCCTTGCTGCTGTGGCTGTTCCTCCTGCTGCTGCCCTGGCTGTTCCTTCTGCTGCTGCTGCTGCTGCTGCGGGCCTTTCCCTTGTTGCAGGCTTGGCTCCCTCCGCTGCTTCGGAGAGCCGGGTTGCCGAAACCGCTCGTGCCTTCTTCAGATAGGGGTGAGTCGGGCCCACTCTCCCACAGGGCTCTACTAGAGGGCCCCATTTTGTCAGCAGCGGCGGCAGCAGCAGCAGCAGCAGACACAGCTGCCGCTGCTGCCTCGCCTGCTGCCGCGCACTCCCGTTTCAATTTAGAAGCTGTGTCTTGCAAGCAGCAGCAGCAGCAGTGGCCTGCTATTAGCAAGTCTCCGAACAAATCATGAGCCTCCCATAGGAAGCCTTGTGAGGGAGCTCCAACGACAGCAGTGGCAGCAGCAGTAGCAATATCAAGAACGGCAGCAGCGGCAGAAATTGTGGCAGCAGCTGCGCGAGCTGTACCTGGGTTAACAGCTCCAGACGCAGAAACACTTAATAACTGAGCAACTGGTTGCACTATTAACAAAGTAAAAAGGAAGCTAGTAGGATCTGTGGCTGGCTCTAGCAACAGGCCATGAGGCAGCAGACGTGCTGCTGCCCTGTGCAGGCTGCGGTGGCCCCCTGGAGCCTCAGGCGTCTTTGCAGCGTGGCGGTTTGACAAAAAATAAATGCATTTAGGGCTTTTTGCTGCCGTTTTACTCCTCGGTTTGTTCTGTAACACAACGACCAGCCCCAGACGAGTGGTGGTGGTGCTGTGCAGTTCGGGGCTGCAGTGGACAGCCAGTCCCTGGGAGTCTCATTTTCGCTGTTTCCATTAGTTGTTCCTGTCCGCCTACTTAGCAACAATCGAATTCAGCTCTTGAAGAAATACAATTTGCGTACTTCGGACTTCCCTGAGCCCAAGGAGGAGAGAGCAGGCCAGCAAATACAGCTCTCCGCCAGGCCCCTTTCTTAGGAAGCAACACATTACATGTCTGCCGCCTGCACCTGCTGTCTGCAGCAAAGAAGGTGACAGTGCGCGCCAGAGAAACCTTAAAGTGTGTGCACACCTACACATTCGGCAATGGGGCCCCTACAGCGCGTGCCCCGGCGGCTGCGCCGCTGTTGCTGCAAACGGCGCTCTGCCGGGCCTCCCGCTGCTGCTGTTGGACATCAGCAGCCAGGAGCGGAGGCAGCTGTTGCTGCTGCAGCAGACACTACCTCCCCCCAGCTGTCACGCGCAGCAGGTAATACGCAACACTCCCTCCCGTAGTTGTCACGCGCACCAGGCAATAGGCTATACGCCCATGCAGGGGGCAAGGGCCGACGCAGCTTTGTTTTAAACTATAGCAGGCGGCGGAGAGACAGAGACCGTAGCTGATTTTAAGAAACTCCAGTAGCAGCCAGAGGGGGAGAGGCTCCTGTATCTATTGCTGCATAGGCGGCGCCCGCGAAGAGCTGCTGCGCCTTAGCTCCCCCTCGACTTAGGTTTATGGCTTTTCTTTTGTAGACAGGGCCCAACAGAGCCTACTAATAAGTACTTTGTACAGCCCCTTATGATTTATAGTAGAACATAATTTTACGGAGCATTCTTGCTCCGGTAACAAGGAGGCAAAGATGGCTGCACAGAGGCGCCAGCGTTGCAGCAACAGCCTCTCCAGACTCACCAACGATTGAACCAATGAAACAAAGCTAAAGATGCCTTGGCCGGAGTTTCTCGCTGTGCACGACTACCCGTGCAGAGGCAGGAGGCTTCTCAGTTCTGTTCCCCACTCACGCTGAGGGCTTGAAGCATAGCATGCTCGCAGCCCAAGCCTAGAAAGTGAAGAAAGCGGCAGAGTTTGAAGTGTTTAGTGTATTGTAGCACATTCCCCAGTTTGGTTAGTTGGGTTTAGTTTGTACCTGTCCTAGTGCTCTGCTGTCGCTGCAGAGCCACGGGAAGCAGCAACCTCTCCGGACGCGGGCAGCTGCTGCTACGACAGCAGCCGGAGGACCCCCGACGCCACGCAGCAGCAGGGGGCATTGGGCTATGGAGAGGCTGTGCCTTCGTTTGCTGTTTCCCTAGTGAACTGCCCGCTGCCCCTTTATGACCAAGACCTGCTGCACCACGTGCACGGACAGCAGCTGCAGCCGCAGCAGCAGCCGCTGCAGCAACTCGAAGGCTTCTACTCTCCCCTGCCGCCGTCTCCCCGTGAGATGCACCAGCTGCAGATCCCCTCTCAGCAAGCTGCTTCGCAGCGCAGCTGCCTGAGACAGGAGGAAGGAGAGGTGGCCAGCAAGGGGGCCCTCGACAGTTTCAGTCCGACCTTTGCAACAGAACTCCTGGCAGACATAGAGCTCGACGAAGAAACTGGGTCTCTTACTGCTTCTGCTGACGCAGCTGCTGCTACAGCGGGCGACGCAAACGCAAATTCGGGTGCAGCGGGAGCTAATTTTCTGTTGCTCATAGATGTGCCCGTGCAGCAGAGCAACGCAGCAGCAAGCTAGGGCTGCCCCATCACAGCGCCTTCAGCGCGCCTCTACTGCTGCTGCAGCTGCCGCTTTTGCTGCCGCCGGAAAATAGGGCAAGCTGCAGCAGTTCTGCCAACCAGACTGCAGCATTTGCTGCCTCTACTTCCGAGGTGGCTGCGGGCGCGCAGCCAGCAGCAGACCAAGGCTATCAGCGCGGCTCGGAGGCCCAAGCAACAGCCAGTTTGTCTCAGAAAATGCATTTTTCTTTTTGAATTTTGTTTGTTCGCAGCAAAGCCTTCTTGCTGCTGCCTGCTAATATGCCGGGCCATTGGCGCCGCCCCGGGCTTCTCTTCAGGCACATCTGCCCTCTTGTCTCAGCCTGTGGCCGTCCCCTCTGCACTACTTGCCTGCTGCGCTGCTGCAGCGCAGCAGGCAGCTGCTGCAGCAAGCCTCCTATTGTGTCTAGACCCCCTCCCTCTTTCTCTGCTACGGGCTCTTTTCCCTCTGGGTCTCAGTCTCCTGGGGCGCCATAGACTCTCAGTGCAATTCCGCTGCGCTGCGGAAGCAGCCAAAAGGCCTTAGTGGCACGAGGCCTCTGAGCTGTTTGTCCAATTGGAGACAATAAGGCAAAAGGAAGCAAAAGGAGGAGGCGGAGGAGAGGCGATCCCGATCCCAGCGCCTCTCCTGCCTCCCCACAAAACAAAATGCAGACTTTTAAACACAACTCAAAAACTACGAAGCCCTTATAAAACGACCTGCTACATTTCTTCCTGCCGCTTCAGCTGCTGCTGCTCCTGCAGTCGCAGCTGCTGCTCTCTCTCCTGCTGCTCTTTCTGCTGCTGCAATTGCTGCTGGTTTAACTGCTGCTGCGGCGCCTCCTGCTGCTCTTTCGGCTGCTGCGGCCCCTGCTGCTGTTGCGGTGCCTCCTGCTGCTGCTTTTGTGGCCGCGGCCCCTGCTGCTCCTGCTGCTGCTGCACCTGACGCTGCTGATGCTCGTCTTCCACAGGGGGCATGGGGGGCCGGGTCTGCATGCGGCGAAGCAGCACTTCGAGGCTGCAGAGGTCAGGAGCAACAAGAGCCTTTCCGACACAGCCTGGCATTTTGCCCGTCAGCACTTTCCTGAAAAGATAAAGAGAACCAAAAAAGACAACAAAGGCTCAAGAGTCCGGCCGCTGCTGCTGTTGCCGCTGGCTGCCATGGCTGCTTCGCCTGCTGCTGCTGCTGCTGCTAGCGCACTGTTTGCTACTCAGTGCTGCTGCCCCCGCAGCTGCAGCTCGCGCCGCCCCTAGCGCAGGGGCTCTTGCTTGAGCTGCTGCTCATGCTGAGACTGCCTGCAGTTTATGCAGCCAGACAGAAGCATCTAAGCTCCTGGGAAAGAACTCACCCATTGTAAGCCAGCCGGAAGACATATGAAGCAGCGCTCTTTGCGGCGCTGCTGCTCTGCTGCGTCTGCTGCTGCTGCTGCTGCTCCGGCAGGTATTCGTAGACCTCGAAGACTACGACGGATGCGTACGGGGGCCAGATGCCGCCGTAGACCTTCAAAGCAGCCAAGACTGCAATGAGGGTGACGTCGTGGGTCATGTAGAGAGACAGGGTCGGCTGCTGCTGCTGCTGCTGCTGTTGCCGGTGGATCGGAGCGAGAATTTTGGTGGAGAGCTCGTGGAAGAGGGGCTCTGCTGCAGCGTAGGCAGCAGCAGCGTCTGCCCAGCTGGTCCAAAAGCTGGTAATCTGGTCGTTGAAGCGCAGCAGCTGCTGCAGCAGGGCTCCGTTTTGCTGCTGCAGCAGCGGCGGCAGCAGATTCTTGCGGCCGCTGCAGACGTAGGTGAGAGCACAGTCCACAATGACTTCAGGCCAGAGAGCCTCGAGCTCGTCTGCAGAGAGCCGCAAAGCCTCCATGAGCTGCTGCTTGGCCTGCTGCTGCTGCGCAGCAAGAGCAGCAAATTCGCTGCTGGCCTCTGCCTGCCGCCGCAGCCGAGCCACCACAGGCGATGCGTACCCCGACAGCAGCGGGTCCGAGGTCACCTCGTGGGTCTCGACCTCCACCCGCTGCGGCGAAGTCCCGCAGCTGCTGAAGAAGGACTGCAGCAAAAAGGCCCCGCTGGCCAGCGTGCGGGAAATGTCAGTGGAGCGCACCCGCACGCGGTCCGCGGGGGCAGCGCACAGCTCCTGTGTGTGAAACAAAGGGTGCACCAGCTGCTGCTGCTGCTGCTGCGGCTGCTCCTGCAGCAGCCGCTGCTGCTGCTGCTTGGGGTGCGCCGCAGCCGCAGGCACCACGTACGCCTGACTCAGAATCGAACCCACCAGCTGCAGCTGCGTCTGGCCCTCGTCTAACAGACTCGAGGGGACGCAGCTGCCCCTGAAAAGCCCCTTCTCCGTCACGCTGGCCACGTACTTCTTCAGCAGCAGCGGCGTTGACAGCTGGTCCGACCCTGTAACAGCAGCAGCAGCAGCAGCATGCAGCAGCAGCGGCTGAGGATATAGCGAGTGCAGCGGCAGCGCAGCAAGGAATCCAACAAGACCCGCAGCGAACAAGCAAAAAGGAAGGGAAACTACAGCAGCAGCAGCAACGGCAACAGCAGCAGAAATGCCACAGTCAGCAGCAGTGCACATAGCAGCAGCAGCAACCTACTTGAGTCATTCATGCCCAGCTCTTCTTGAATGGCGCACTCCCAAGGAGGTCCAAGTTCCTCTGTTGCTGCTGCTGTAGACGCTGCAGGTGCTTCTGCTGCTGCTGCTGCTCCAGCTACAGAAGCGGCGTCTGCAGGGGAAGAAGCTTCGCTGCTGCTGCTGCTGCCGCTGCTGCTGCTGCCTTCGGCGCGCAGATCGCGAGTGGTGGAGTCTCCGCTGGAATGTGGGGCTTCCCTTGCACCAGCAGCAGCAGCAGCTGTGCCAATTGCGTCCGAATGCACCTCCCACGCTGCTGCAGCAGCGTCAGCTGCTGCTGCTGCTGCTGCGCAGTCCCCTTGTCTGTGGTGACCCACCGGGGGGCACCTCTCTGCGTCGCTTTTTAGAGCGTCTTGCTCTGGGGCCAGGCCCACGTGGCGGTGGGCTGTGCTGCTGCTGCTGCTGCTGCTGTTGAAGCTGCTGCCATCGGTGCTGCTGCCGTCTCTGCTGCTGCTGTCTCTGCTGCTGCTTGTGTGCAAGTCGGAGTCAGCAGCATCAGCCCAACGCCAGCAGTGTCTGTCATAGGGGGCCCTAGCGCCGTGCCGCACCAGAGCATGTACCTGCAGCACAGCAGCAGCAGCAGCAGCAGTGACAGCAGCAAGAATAGTAAGGCTCTATAGAGAATAGGCACGCTCAAAAGTGGCAGCAGCACGGCGATAGGCCCACCTGCTGCAGCCGCAAATTAAGCGCTTGAGCCTCTGAGCTGAGGGGAGGCAGCACTCGCTTCTCCCGCACAGTCCACTGCTTCAAACAATAGTCCGGATACTCTTCTGTGTCGCTAGCAGCAGCAGCTGCTGCTGCTGCTGCTGCTGTTTCTGCAACATTGGGGAAAAAACGAGAGCCCAGCAGAAAAAAGACGAGAAAAAACGAGGTGACTTGCCCTATTTGGGCCCATGAGGCGTTGTAGCTGCAAGACATAGCGGCAGCTGCTCCTGCTGCTGCTGCTATATGTGATGCTGCGCCTGCTTGCTGCGCCGGAGCTGGCGCCCAAACTGGTGCTGGCCTTCCTGCTGCTGCTGCTGCTGCTGCTGATTGGGACTCCCCAGAAACGACGGGCTGCGAAACTGCGTAGCCTAGAGATAGCCTCTTGAGTAGGGGCCTGCAGCGCTGCCGATGCTGCAGCAGCAGCAGCAGAGCCAAGTGGGGAGTAGCAGCAGCTCAGGACTCCCCGTGTCCTGCAGACCAAGAAGCCCCTCGGGGGCCCTTGAAGGCCAGCAGCTCTGCAGAAACAGGGGGTCAATTAGGACCCCTGTGAACGGTCTGAGCTAGGCAGCAACAGCAGCAGCGGTAACGCTAGCACCAGCAAGGAGATAAAATATTTATGGAGGGACTGCTCCTAGTGCTGCTGCTGCACAGAAAAACTGGCAACGATGGTTCGAAACAACGCCTTCTTTTTCCTCATATATTAAACCCACTTTTGCTTCCAGGGTGGCAAATACATAGAAGAAACCATGAGAGGCAGGGGCAGAGACCGTGCATGGCGTGTCCAGACAACTAGAAGGACACGGTCACAGACGGTAGGGTCCGTCACAAACAACGAGTGACTTATAAGTAAGTATTAAAACGAAATTAAAGCGCATCTAAACAAACATAAAATATTAGTGTGTGCGGCGCTGCAGATGATGGCACGAACAGCCGAAGCAGGTGGCCCCAGCCCCCTCCTAGCCATAGAGCAGCCGCAGGCTGTAGCCTTTATATTCGTTGCCTCCGTTAAAACTGCTCGCTTTACAAAGTTAAATGATTATCTTTGTGGATCTGAAACGTTGGTTTCTCCAGTAGAGCCCCTACTCCCCCGCGGCTGCCCTGCGGTCTCTAGCAGGCGCCGCTGGTTGACAGGATTCAGGCCTATACCGGATGAAGTGTCCTGCCGTGCGTTATGCTTAGTTGTTTTTCTCGAAATTCCGCCTTCTCACCACAGTTGTAGTCAGAAATTTTGTCGTGTAATAGCTCCATATGTCGGCGATAGAACTTCGGGATTCAAGGCTCCTCTATCTCCCCAAGTTGTTCCTGTGGTCTGACAGAAAGGGCTGGTGAATCTTAGGGCTTCATTTGCCCATCTGATGGGTATATTTATATATATATATGAGTCTTTAATTTCTTTACTAAAGGCTCAGGGATCTCTCTTACTCGCCGAGCCGAGCTCTGCGTTCGCGCATGCCCCTCACCAAGAGTAGTGTTGTCTAGTCCCCTATCTAGGGAATTCGCACTTCCCCAAATTCCCGTGGGGCTTGAATTTCTATTATCTAGTAACAGACCTGCGACTGTCTTCTTTTTGTTCTTCACTTAGAATTTTTGTGGTCTTCGTTCTTCGGTCTCCAGCTCAAGGCTAACTTCTGACTATAGTTTTTTCAAATCCCTGACCAGACACTTGCTGCGAGTCTGTCTTTCCTTGTTGTTTGTCCTAAAAGCCTCATTTTGCTGTTGTTTTCTGCATCACGCGGTGTTATGCCGGAAGTGGCTTCTCCACAGTGCCGATAGGGCCCTTGGGATTTAGCACAGGTAAGCTAGCTTCGTCCAGATCCTAGACAGATGCGTTCAGGTGAAGTGGAGAACAACGAAAATTTGCCGTTTTCGGCGACTCTTGGAATGAATATTCTTGTTTTGTGTGGCGAGAGATGCTACTCCTCGTCGCAACATGTAGGCGACTGTGCTCTTGGGAATTCAGTTTCCCTGGAGTCCAGCTGAATGCAGTTTCTCAGCTTTAACAAATGTGTAAAAATGTGTCGGTGGGAGAGCGAATGTAGCGCAAGAGGGTATAAGTTGGTATCCAGGAATTGACGGCTGTGTAGAGAGTTTAGAATAAGTGATGGTAAACTGCGAAGGGTCTAGTTTACAGGAAATTGGATTCAGTAGCAACAAATACCCTCACCAGCGGCTCCCCGGTTACGCGTCCACAGTAGCTACCGAATTATGGACGATAGACATGCTTACTTGGCCACAACAGTAGTGTAAGGGGGCGGTTGAGCGTCTGAGTAATGCATGTGTATGATCCTGCATGCACTCTGTAAAAATGCTATGGCCGCCCGAAGTCCGCCTTTGAATTATGACGAAATATCTCTTTTTTTAGAAGAAAAAAACACCAGCGCTCAATCTCGAGACTGAGGCTTGCAGCAGGATGCACGGCATCTGCCTCCTAGCAGTAATAGGAGCGGAGGCCACCCAACGGCTTCCCTTTGAGGCAAAATGGGACAATTCATCATCGCAAATGTCCATTCAAAGTGTAAATGTCCTGTTAATGCCAAGCCACGCTATTCAGCTTGGATTTGCAAGGCGATCGGAGGCGGGAGAAAGCCAGATGCAATGAGGTGACTCTGCGTATGTAGAACCAGTCATTCCGGAAGTTACGGTTCTCTTGTAAGCAGTCGCTGCGGGGGCTGCCTACGAGCTGGGGCTTGGCTATGCATGTTCTACTTTAGCAATCGGTGTCTGGATCAATAAATGCGTTGAGAAGGCGAGGGGGTTAACGGGTGCTGGTTAGCTCGCTGCCACCACAGCGAGCTTCGGTGCTCAAGTGGGATCTCTGTTCGGCCGTGCAACTCATAATTAAGGAACTTAGAAGACCGATGTTCTTTGATTTGTGTGCATGAGGCTCGCGCATGCATGCTTGTGTCCTAAGGCAGGAATAGCGTAGGCCTGCAGGCAGTTCATCGCCTCGTCGCCGACAGCTGCAAGGCAGAAAGCCTCAAAATCCTTCTGGGCCTGAAGCCAACACTAAAGTGTAATGCCGTCTTTCATATTTTACTTTTGTATTTCAGGCAGGACCCCTTTATTTTCAAGAGGAAACTGCATTCTATACCGGACCCTGCCCTGGGCACCCTTTGTTCCCGCACTGTACTGCGGCAGGTGCTCAAATCCTGCACTGGGCTGCTCGCTTAATGCCTATACCACACAGTGACACTTGTAGGAGGTCCCACTAAAGCTGCAATCAAGGATGCAGCCACTTCTTGAAGCGCCGTAAAGGATGTCAAACTGAGCTCCCCCTGACTTTCTCTTGCAGCCGAACCAGCTAACGCTTTGATCCCAGGGTCAACTACTGTGAAACTTCCATTCCCCATTCGGCGCGCTTATTACAGAGGCAGTACAAAAATCTCCTCCGCGCTCGTCCCATGGAGTATCCCACAGCATGCACTTTTCACTTATTCTTTACACTTAAAAGCTCAGCTGTAGCTCCTAGATTTCTCCTTTTGCTCTAATTCTACATAGCCAAATCCCTTTCTGCTAGCCACTGAGGCAATCTAAGCACGCAGAGTGACCAGCATTACAGCTCTGGAAATACAGCTCAGGCGCCAGGCGAGACCTTAACCTGTAGGCCATGCAAAATGCGCCATCTCCCATGCGCTAGGTCTACCTTTGAGGTGACAAAACCTGTGTATATTTGCATGCAAGCATGATGAATCGTAGAGAAATTCTCGAAATCCTCGAGCTGTTCATGTAACCTCCGTGCGCCGTCGTTGCCCCCCTCAAAATGTACCTGTAAGACGTGCTTCACTCAAAGAGGAGGTTCCGTAGCCAGACGAAGACTCAAAAGAGATTAGATAAACAAATATTGCTGCATATAAAAAGCACGAATGTGCTTACAGGATCCAGACCATTCGGAGGCCTCAATTTCCGAGCTGAGGCACACCACCGTGATCGGCCCTTAAGGGTGTTACTCACAGCCCCAAACCCTCTCAGATGCTCATCATCCCACGGTAGATCGTTTAAGTTTTTCTTGTAGATTTTTAAGTACTTAAATGAAGAGTGAGAGGAGTTTAATGCAAACAATACTCCGTTGCTTCACGAGAGGAAGTGGCACTCAAATGTCCTGTAGAGTCAAACCTGCACGTGTTGCAGGATTGCCACTTTGTGTTTTCCGCGTTGCTTTCCGTGTTTTCTTTGTATTTGGTTTGCATTTATAGTTTATCTCAGACCTGTGGGCGAGACATCACAGTCTTTCCCAGTTCCTTCTCCGCTCCCTAGTCCCCCCAAAGCCCCCAAGGCCCTGCGCCTGCCGCCTGCTCGTTGGCTCCTTCTGGTTGTTTGTCTCTTTCCTTAGCTGTATTCGCATCATTTGCCTTGTTGTGGGGGGCTGGAAAAGATTGCACGGGCCGTGGGCTTCTGTTCAGGAGGGCAGAAGTGGCCTCGCGGATTCCGCATGGGGCGCTCTCTACCGGTTTTAGATTTGCGCCTGCAGCAACCCCCGCAGCAGCCGCAACTGCAGCAGCAGCAGAGCACTGATCAAGGAGCTCACTGGCGGCACAGCCAGCCTCAAGGATTCAGAATTACTTTTCAAGTGGACAGCCCCTTCGTGTGCTTTCCACTGCGTCCTTGATGAGAAATACGGGCCTGCATCATCGGGGGGGCCGCGAAAGGGGCCCCCCGCCCTCGGGTGGAATTGTGGGAAGCGGCTCATCTTGCATGCGTCTCTTTGCGTTTTTAAGTAATATGTTTGATGGCGAGATGACGCTGGATGAGAAGCTGGTCCTGCAGATCCTGAGGCGATTGGCGGCGACTCCTTACGATAAGGAAAATGCCGACCATGAACAAGTAAGCAACAAGGTGTCAACAAGTAAGCAGTGGAACCCGCTGGGTCTTTTCTTTTCCTTTTTGCCATATCTTCCCCAGTGTTTGCGGATTCCATTTTTGTTTTTTTGGCCTCAGTTCATGAATCAGCCGTTGTCTATGTGTCCTGCCTTTCCGTGCTCTTACTGTTGCCTTCAACGCGGGAGATGATCCTTGATTTAAATGGTAAATGTCATTTCATTTGGTTTTCTTATAGTGTGCTAAATCAGTGGCTTTGCTTTCGCTGCCTCCCTTGGGTGTCTGCACAGCTTCTGAGGAGATTTTTCTTGCTCTGTTTCCCTGAGGCCACATTAGAACCTGCGAAGGAAGAAGATTCGAGGTGGAAAGAAGTTGGGTTTCAGGTACAAGGGCCAGTTTGTTTGACAGCATTTGTGCCCCTGTTTTGTTTTCTTCGAAATTTTTGTCCGGTCTTGCCTTTTTCATTCAAGATCTGCGTTTCCCCTCAACAGCATTCATCTGTGCTGGTCCATCGTCGTCCGATTCTGTCTGTTTTCCCCTTGAGTTTGCTTTGAAGGCCCTATTTTCGTTCCTTTAGGTGGTATTTTACTTCTTTAGCTACTTGCAATCTGTGTATATGTGTCGCTATGGTTTAATCTCATCTGCTTTGCCTCTTCTGCTTTCCGTGTTTTCGCAGTAGCATGTCTTTGTTAGTTTTCACTTTGTGTTTCTGTGCCGTCGAATCCGTGCTGTCGATTTTTTTTTTGCATCTGCAGCCTTTCTTTTTCTCTTTTTCCGTCTTTGTCGCTCGCCCTCGCTCCTGTTGCGCCTTCCTTCAGGTTCTCATTTACCTCTCGACTGTGCAGCATTCTTGCGGTTTTTGCCTCTTTTTCATGTTATTTTATCGCCATTTTTAGCATTTTTACGTAATAATTTGATTCAGAGTGAAGACCCCCGCCGCGACTTCCGGGGCGGCGGTTTTCTGGCTCTGCAAAACCTTTGTTTTTTTCGTCTTCGCTATCCCCGACAGTTTTTTACCCTTTCGAGGAAGAGCTATACAGCGGGTTTCCCCATGGCTGCTGCTTTTATTAATATCACGGTTAGTCCTGCTGCTGTTCTCGCGGCTTCTTCTGTTCCCGCTGCTGCTGCCGTTGCGAGAACGAGCAGTAGCAGTGTGCGTGATTACCCGGTTCCTGGCTTGCTGTGTTCTACAGCATTTTGAGGAATTGATGATGTGGAATATTTTGTTCACTTTGGCTTCGCTACTGCTGCTGCTGCTGCTGCTGCTGTGGGCTTCAGCATATGCTGACTGCTTACCTCCGTCTCACCGTCTCAGCGGGTCTGGCTGCTGGGGAGATTCAGGCCCCTCGCCGGGCGATGCGTCACTTTTTGCGTCTTTGCCTGAGTCCTGCTGCATTGGAAGATGAGGCTGAAGAGCGCGTGCAGCTAAACGACTTTTCAAAAGGCTCCAAGGAGGGCTCGTTCTTGTGCCCTCCGCCCCTGCCGGGGGCTGCAGCACTGGCGCAGCGCCGGGGCTCAGACAGCTACTCCGACTCAGACTTGGTGCGTTCGGATCTGTCGGCTGCATCAGCGAACGCGCCTGCTTGCGGTATGCGTACAGCTGCAGCAAACGTGCCGCAAGGCCAGCCCACCCAAGCCAGCAGCCCTTTGCCCAGCGGGCCGCTGCTGCCGGGGCGGCGGCTGCGGCGGGGCTCTTCAGATTTAGGAAGGGGGCGCGTAAGAACAGGACAAGTCACGGAAAACCGGGTGTTGACGGTTTTTGGTCATTTATTTGTCTTCGCTTGCATGCGACTGGACCAAGAGCTGGGCTTGAGGGGCGCCTGGCAGCCGGACGGGACTGACCCTCCCCTTGCCCATTCCCCGCGGCACTTCCCGCACCACTTCTCCGGCCGCCGCAGACTGCACGGCCACTTCGTGCATTCTTCCCGGAGGACTTCTGCTTCCAAGGGCTCCAGCGGGAAGAGCCACCCGGCAGAAGAAACCCACATGGCGACGGAGCCATCAGCGGGCAGCGGAGGCGCTTCGGAGGCTTCGCGGGACTCCGTCTTGGCCCCGACGCAAGGCAGAGACACAGCGCCTGTCTCCCCCGCGAGGTCTGTTGCGGGAATGGAGGAGACGGAGCTGTGTCCGACTTCGGGGGAGCTGTCTGCCACCCCGTCGCCGCGCTCCACCGGCTCCGGCCGGGAGCAGCCTTCCGTGCTACCAGCAAATCCGGGGGCCCCCGGGGACTCTGGGTCTTGTGAAGCAGCTGCTAGGCCAGCTAGTGGCGGCTCTGACGGCCTGCTGCACCGGCGGGCGCAGCTGTGCTTTGGGGAAGCTCTCAAGGAAGTGCGCAATGCTGTTGACGCCGTCCTATGTGATGGCACTGTACAGACAGTGGGAGACTTGGGGGCAATCTGCCGAAGTTGCTAGCCACCTTACAACAAGAGCAGCCCAGCAATCCCGCCCTGTCGTTGCGCTTCAATTTGTAAAGACGAGTTGCTTAATTGTCCAGCTCACGCGTAAGGCGCTGAGAGGCACTGCCTCCTCTTGAAATACAGCAGAATGAGCAGCTGACACAGCAGCTGCACCGGGCTGGTTTCCAGCACCCCTCGGCACCCAAAGGGTTTACCAGCAGGGAGTCAAGGCTCTTAGTTGGGAATGAGATAGAAAGAGAGAGACACACGGAGGCCACGTGAGTTTTGGAGGCCAACTACCGTCCGGTAGGACCAACCGGAGAAGCAAACATATGTTTTTCGTGTATTCTTTCGAGGGACTGACTCAGCAGTTGCATTCTGGTAGTGCTGTGTGTGGCACACAAAAGGTTTATTTAAAGTAGTAGGGAGGGAACTTCAATTTGTTTTTGTTGTCAGTTGAAACCAGCAATGTGCTTACTTCCATTGCTGGCTAAAGCTTGGCGTATCAACACCCTTGTGGCGCGCATACACCGCTAATCTTCAGGCCATTGGCCGAGCGATCTCTGTTGAGTCGCATGAGGGATCTGAACCATAATTTGTTTTCGCAGCATTGTGGGCACAGCGCTGGGACTGTTCCTCTGTATTTTACAGTGGAAGGCATTGCTTACACTATTTTGCATGCGTACTTTACCACAAGCCTATGTAGCTGAGAAGTAAAGGGGCAGATGGTGCTTGAGGGACTTCAAAACGGCGAGGCATCACCTAATTGAGGCAGCTTAGTTCTCACTTTCAAGGATGCTTGGTTACGAATCACATGTTCGCTACCGTTTGCACCCGCGTTCTCTACTTTTCCTAGCTTGGACTTCAATATAGATACGCCAGGCAAGTGCATCTTCACAAGGAAACGTGGTCACTTTCAGATTGGAACACGCATTATTGAAAAGGGGATGAAGTACAAAATGGGCCGGCTGGCAATGTCTGAGCACAAGAGTGAGAAGACAGACTAAATTCTGACGAACCACTGAGAATAGAGTGGGGAATAGTGGTGAACTTTGGTCAGCATAGAAAGCCCCAAGAAACAGGCCCACCGTCCGTAGTTGGTGTTCTCACTACGTGCAAACTATTGGTTGGATGATGTTTGTGGTAGCAAACACTCAACTGAGACCCAAGGGACAGGCCCGCTGTCCGTAGCAGGCATTATCGAGCAGCATGCGTGCTTTCATTGCTGGCTAAAGTGTGGAGCATCAACTTGGACTCTGGTGAAATTGAGCTACGAACGGGGAATTCAAATTCGTAGCTTAGAACCCGAAGCCGCACCGAATACCCCGAAGAGCAGTATGTTTCTTAAACTTGCACCGCAGAGCGTAAGCAATTCTTCTGCATCATTTTCCACACATGAACGTCGAGTGAACTTTATTCAAAAAGACCGGATCGGTGTTGATAAGAAAAGGTGTTTGGTTTAATTCATTGCGAGCGTTCCTTATTAGAAGAAGCTGCTCCATAGCTCATCAAATATACACATGAGCTAGCGCAAACAGACTTGATTTCATCAGCTTAAAATGTGCCACTTTTTCACAGAAGTGACAAAGTAAGTGGCCAAGTGAGCGTAGGACAAGAGATGCATTATGTTGATGCATTACGCTTCCAGACTGAAGGCCGCTGCAAAGGTCACCCCTTAAAAAAACAGGGCTACCTGTAAAATTGCAGCTTCAAAAAGAAAGCCTGAGGCAGAGGACAACTTTGCAGTGAAAGTCAAGACTGAGTCCAAAACAATACCCAGCTGCTGCTTCACTAGGAGCCAGACGGAGCTGCGAAAAGAAGACTACGCGCCTTTAAATCCAGTTAACAAAAGCAGCTTCAAGTACTTTTGCAGAAACTTGGTCGGTGCTGCGTTGTCTTCATGCGCGCGGTTGACTGTCCAGTGTCGAGTGCTAATCGCGCAATCGGGAAACGACAAACAACGCGGCGGCAGTTGGTGCTGGTTGAGCTAAGGCGAGGGCTCTGAGTGCTGGTCTGCGGCGTTCTGGACAGTTTCACTTGTGCTATCGCTCCCTTGACCTTGGGCTGTCTCTACGCTCTTCCCTTCACCCTCCGGGGCTTCCTCGTGCTGCCTTTCTTGAGGCTTTTGAGGTTTCTCTTCGGGAGCTTGCTCTGGTGCGTCGTTGTCTCCGCGCGAGTTGTTATTCTGAGCAGTTCTGAGGATAACGTTCCTGAGCTGCTCAATTCTCCCTTCGATTAGGCCCCTATATCTTTCTTGAAGGATCTGGAGTAGCCTAAGTCGATTCTGCAGCTCTCGTTTGGCAACTGTGCATTCTTGTACGTTTGTTTCTGTGTTCTCCTGAAGGCAAATACCTTCCTTGCCTTTTCTGCTGCTGGATATGGCGCTGCGGCATTCTGTGCCGTGCTCCCTTAGAATGTCCGCGACATGCTGAGTCGCCTGCTGATTAAACAAGTCCAGATAGAACACCAAATGCATATGCTTAATTTCGTTTTCAGACAGCCTGAGCGCGGCAGCCTGAGAAGTGACAAATTCTTCGTAAGAGGTCCAGTGCCCTTCCCCTAGGTATCTGAGCATAGACCTTCTTAGCAGGTCCTCGTGATTGCAATGTGTATTTTCCTCTCGGTTTGCTACGCTTTCATTTTCTTCTTCATTTGCTTTTTCGGACTCAGCGGGCAACCGAGGATCGCAAGAATTCAATGCCAAGTACAAATCCATTAGAGCAGTTGAGGAATTTCCAACATTATTCGCCTCGGGCCGTGGGTTCGATCTGCTGGATGTACTTGCTCCATATTGCTCACGGGGAGAGCGGAATTGAAAAGATGCGATATCGAGAAGAGGCAAGCCCTCAAGATCTGCGATATGAAACAACAAAAACGGACATAGGCAGCTTATATAGCGGACCAATTGAAAGAAGCGCGGCGCATGTACTACATAATAAGATGGAGAAAGACTAGGTAGAGAAAACGAACCTGTCGCGTCGCTTGCGCCTGAAGAAATTTCATGAGATACTTGTCCATGAGCAGTTTCTCCCAAGTTGGTGACAGGCCGCATTTGGTCATATTCAGAAGTCTGCGAAACAGGGTCTCTTTGTTGCGAAACAGGGTCTCTTTGTTGCTGGTGTTCTTCTGTTTGCTCTTGTCTCCGTTCTGGAGCTTGCTGCCGCTCTCGGCCGTTTCGTGGTTGACGGTTTTGTCTTTCTCTTTGCCTTCTTTCGTCTCTCATGAGAAATATTTGGTGCCTCAGCTTGCCAGACATGCGTCTCCACAAAGCACGGGCGTACTGCAGAAATCCAAGCAAAAAGACAGAGTCGCCAATGAAACTATCACGCAAAGGAGCATGTGGGTGCCAACTATACTTTTTATGTGAAAGGACTTGACGCTTGACCAAAAACAATCGAAAGCAACTGAACTGCTTACCTCGACATCGTCTCGGAAAATGTGAAGAGGCACGCCATTGGCATTGCAAGGAGCTCTAGAGTTTTGGGGGTTCATGCGATTATTGGGGCCTGGAACTGCTCCTCCTTGATAACGCATGTTTGGTTGTGGGTAGAGAGGCCCTTGGCGTCTTCTGTTGTTGTTGTGTCTGGAGGCGTTGCTATCTGCTCTTGAACTTGGGTACTTCGAGGCCCTAGAGGAGCGTGGGCTGTGAGCGTCTCTGGCAGCTGCTTGTGAAACTTCAGCATTAAGGGCTTTCTGCTCCTCCCTAATCCGTCCTCGGGCTTCTTCTAGTTGCTTCTTGTGGTAATCTTCCATACCGTAAGGAATCCACAGGCCTGTACTGTCGTAGAAGCCCAAAGGTGAAGGATCAGGAACCCAGTCAGGAACCATGTGTCTAGCTGCTGCGCCGCCGCCGCTGTACATCTGTTGGTGCTGCTGCAGCTTTCCCAAATACCTCTGCTGCTGTTCAAGATAAATGAGGCGCTGATGCACAAACTCGGGGTCATGATGATAACCCCGTTGATGGTTGATGAATTCTTGCTGATTCTGAAGGTGCCTCAGTTGCTGCTCCAAGTACTGCTGCTGTTGGTGGATTTGCCTTTGCTCTTCGCTCAGAAACTTTGATTGCTGCCAGTGCTTTTGCGGCTGCTGGGAACGTCCATGTTGATCTGTTGGGTACGACAACTGCTGCTGCTGCTGCTGCAACCTGCGCTGCTGCTCGTCTAGTTGAGCTTTCTGGTGCAGTATTTGCTCCCTTTGTTGGTGCAGATTCATCTGCTGCCGGTGCAAATGTTCTTGATGCTGCTGATGAAGCCGTTGCTGCTGCGGATTGAGGAAGCGTGGCTGCGGCCTCCAATGAGGTCCTTGCTGCGCATGGAATGGTCTTGGCAGCGGATGCATGAACCTTTGTTCTTGCTGCTCATGTTGCATATGCGGAAACGGCGGGTAAGCAGGCTGCTGCGGAAATCCTGGATGCGGTCCAAGTTCTGTTGGAGGCGGCATGTTGGGTCCTGGCTGCTGGTGTTGCATGTGTGTGTGAAAGTGCCCCGGGTGTCCGTTCATTTCGGCCACATACTGCTGTTGTTGCTCTGTGTATGCTGGTTCATTGAAGGCGATTGGCTGCTCTTGCTGAGGTTGAGGCTGCTGCTCAACCTGCTGCTCTGTGTGCTGCTGCACTGGTTGTTCCGCATTCAGAGAACCCTGTTTCACCTCGGGTTGTTGTTGCTGCTGCTGTTCTTGTTGCTTCGGTTGTTGCTGCTCTTGTTCCAGCTGCCCTTCTTGCAGCTGTTCTTGTTGCACTTGCTCTTGTTTAGGCTGCCCTTGTTGCGGCTGTTCCTGTTGCATCTGCTCTTGTTGCAATGCGTGTAGCTGCTGCTGTTCTTGGTTCTGTAGCTCCTGGTGCTGGTGGCATTGCTGATGGATCTGCTGCTGGTGCATGGGAGGCCGACCATGCATGTGCATGTGTTGCTGTTGAAGAAAGTGGAGTTCTTCAGGGCTTAAAGGTCGAGGCGGCTGCAGCGGCTGCACGTGTGGTGGCATTGGGTATATAGGATGTCCATGCATCAGAGCTGGTGAGTAGGGAACCTGCAAACAAACAAACAAAAACGGGTGAATGAAGTTTAACTGTCACATTTTTCATAACAAAAGCTGAGCAATACGTCCATGCACCTATATGTGCTTGCCATTTGGCACATAAAAACCTCAACAACAAATTCACATGAAAAGAGTCTGAATTATATACGAGCATTTTAGTACGCACAAATAAAAACGATGCCCAAAGTTAACAAGAAGAATTGATATGAAACATAAGTAGATAGCTCTGCGATATATTTCGGGCAGTTATGCGTGCAAACAACGCAGCCTTGCATATTCATGAATGAAAACAGGATAGAAAAACCAAAAACATCTTTTACTCTGTTGTTCATCGGAGGTGGTGGGGGCGGTGGTGGCATAACTTGGCCGGGCTGAGGGGGCATGAAATACCCTTGTGGCTGAGAGAAATAAAGCAGAAAGCACATCTGGCACAATATTCTTTTTCAGAACAAAGGGGAAAACGGCTGCCAGCCAAAACGCGATTTAGGCATGCAGTTTTTTCAAGAATTAAACCATTACATCTGCTTACCAGCGGGTGTTGTGGGTAATACGGGGGACTAGAAGCCTTGTACCAAATCCCTCCTCGGGGAGCAGCATTTGGCCCGAAGCCATGATAATGTGGCGGGCCTTGTTGGCGAGGGAATGGACGACGAGGCTGCTGCTGTTGCTGCTGATGGTGGTGCTGCTGGTTTTGCTGCTGCTGTGGGTGAGCGTATTGGCGAGGAAAGTGCTGGGGGTGAGTGGATGCTTGTCTAATGCTGATGTAGCCGCCTCTGCCGCGGTGGTGTTGAGGGCCGTTGTGGTGCGGGTGGTACTCTCCGTTGTTAGCAGCAAAGTTTCCTTGTCTTTGTTCGTAAGGCCGGCTTCCGCGGGGAACTCCTCGGCTTCCTGGGTGTTGGTATCTGCCGCGTTGCTGCTGGCGTTGGTAGTGGGGCTGTACTACTTGTTGTTCTTGACGCTGGGGGCTGTTGGGAGGAGCTTTGGGGGTTGTAATGCTTGCTTGTACTTCCTCCTGAGTAACATTTGGCATCTCTGCTTCTTGAGAACTTGCTGTTTCTTGGCTTCCAGAGCTGGGCAGCAGGGGACTCGTGCTTTGGCCGTCTGCAGCGTCGAGTTCGGTGGTTTCGGACTCGCTGCTGTTCCCCAGCAGCAAAGTGTACCCATTTTGGTCTCTTGTGGACTCTCGAGGCACCGTTTGCTCCGCTTCTTCTCCAGAACTCCTCACAGAAGTTGAGGCAGAGACTGCAGCAGGCGGCGTGCTGTCGCCTACTGTTCCCTGGTTAGAACAAGCTACGTCGGTGGCCTGCATGGTTTGCGCTGGGGCTTCTTGAGTCGAGGTTTCAGGGACGGCCACAGAAGGTGCTTCTATGGGGAAAAAACAGAAAGACACACTAGGAAGTAAATTAAGCCCACAGGCAATTCGAGCCCAAATAGGGTGCTAGCATAAACCACTCATATTGAGGCCAGCAACTGCGATGAACTTCAAGCTACAACTAAAGCCTACAAGCTAAAGAGGTGTCGCTGGTGCTTGATCGCTAGCTTAGCTGACAAAGTGCACTGCAGCAATGAAGCTCTGGGGATCAGGCCTGGAACTTTCAAGTGCCTACGGCAACTGATTTTGCCTTCTTACCAGTTGGTTGAACTGCAGTTTGAGTGGCGGCGCACGGAGTACGGTCTTGCTTAACGGCTACTCCAGGCGAACAGGCAGTGAAAGAAATCGCGAAGGCTCCCAGGATCATCAGTGCGAATTTATGAAAACGATTCATTTTGGCCAGACTCTCGGTGCTGAGAAAAGAGGCACACAACACAGAGACGGAATATACTTTACTTGTAGCTCAGGCAAACCACAACTTTGCCGAACTCCCTGCACTGCAGTGCGTGATATGTTGCTCTGAGGTGAAATGCATACAATTGTAAGGCTAAAATGAAAAGGAGGCACAAGCTTAGTCGAGCTGATGATGCGCACAGAAGACTGAGGCCTCCTGATACTCTACAGGACTGTGCTCCTTGGCTTGGTAAGGCTTAACAGAGACTTCAAAGAAGGTTTTTCACTGGCAACTAGTGTGTGTGATGACAGTCACAATAAAACCATATCATAAAGTGGCACTAGGGGGCAGGAGAGAAGGGATCTCACGCGTAAAACGAATATGGTGGCGGCTATCAGCCTTCAGTCGGCGGCGGTCGTCGATTGGGCCACGAGAACCAAAGCCGCGAAAGCCCGCTGGGTGTTGAAAACTGTATTAAAATAGAATTAAATATATTTCACTGTGTGCAAAAGCCTCCAAAATGCATTTCCACACATTGTGATGGACCTTTACTGAGACGCCGGAAGGGCCGCGGCAAGAGCCGGTGAACACGGCGGGCAGCGGGCGGGCCACGTGCTGCAAGCCATGGGCTCTGTGGCTGCCTGCTCAGCGACGCCTGCCATTTCAACAGGATCGAAGGATATCAAAATGCAAATAAATTTAGATTAATCCTTATTTCAATGGGACTTTCCATGCAGTATTGCGTGGGCCGCCGAAACATTAATCGAGCGTTTCACGCTCATCGAGACAGTTGCCATCATGATGCTTGGGACTCAACCGCTCATCGCACCCGTGGAGGCCTACCTTTGCCAAATGCACACTTTATATGCTTCAAAACAAGCCCAACTAGGTGTTTAATCTCGATTTCAAACGTTTTCCGTCTAGATTTCATAATGAGATCGCGCCTTGGCTCCCTCTGGCTATGCCTTGCCAAGACAAGGCTACAGATTTCAGCTAGCGGCAATGCTGAAACATCCCCTGTTTGCAGATGAATTTTGAATCAACCAAAAGCTTTTTCAGCTGACTACTGCCTTTTAGTCTGGCGTTTCTCCAAATCGAGGGCCTCTTTGTTCCCGTAAGGCAGTATGAGCCCGCGATCCTACCCAGGCTGCTTGATAGTTACAATCAAGTAGACAAGGACTTCCAGTCCTCTGTCCCTGAACCGCTCATCAAGCACCTCAATCAATTTTTGAAGAACGTTATGTTTGCCACATTAAGTGGCAATTTTGACGCTAGACATTGCGGTGTGCAGTATCAGCAGGTTCAGGGCAGACAGTCAGAGAAAGTAAGCAGCCACCACTCCAATGCAAGCCCACGGCCTCTGCCCAAATATAGAAAAAAGTGAAATCTACATTTTTTCATTTAAAAAGAGACTAGATTTCTTTCTGGAGCTTCAGGCGTCCAGCCTAGTCACTAGTTACCTTGTGTCTATGGGATAACTATGCTTCGAAACACCGGGCTAAAGATTTACCCTTTTACTCTTCACTCCCAGTGGAATATTCCTCGCACCATAGAGGCTCGACTTTTGGCTCTTTTCAAAGCCAAAGAGCGGCTTGAACCTTGAGCCACTGCAAAGCAGCTGTCCTAATGTGTGCACTAGGCGCCGCAGAAATTATCCTATATATGTAATATATATATTACTTGTTAGAATTCCTCCTTTTTGGCATTCCTCGACTAAGCGACCCGGCCTAGCTGCGCGGCTACTAGAGCCCCCCAGAGGCCTGTAACCTTGCCTTGAGTGTTCCCGTTCTGTCAGATATTTCATTTGTCGCTAATTGCATTTTGGAGGGCAGTGGAAAAGGCATTTGAGCTCGAGGTTTTCCTTAAAATCCAAAAGCGCAGCACAAAACTGCAGCAGCTACAACCTCAATCGCAGCTGAAACTCCAGGCCTTGTTTAAACATGGGGGAAAAGTCCATTAGTTCTACCTCTAGACTTTAAACCCCGCCCGAGGCTGCACTAATAGTATTGAGAGCCAAAAGCCCATTTTCTTTGTCATGTGAGCTCAAGTACCAAAATCCCCTTCAAATTGTGGCAGCAACAGGCGCTGTAAAAAGATATTATCAAAGCTCCTTTGAAGCTAAAGTCCCTGAGATTTGAATTTTGGGACTTTTCTTTTAAATGTGGGCTTCTTTTGATAAGATTAAAACTGCAAAGATTGCACGGCGTCCAGCGGATCTTTAAAAAAACAAAAGGAGCAAAAGGCACGGCCGTAGCGGCAGCGCGTTGGCAAAGTTTGGGGCACAGGCTGCTGCCTGTGATTTGCAGAACATCTCAAAGATGCTGCTGCTGCTGCTGTTGCTGCGGACTCAGGTGGAGAAAATATTCCTTTGGAAGGTGCTAGAAAGCCTTTGCTTCTCCTCTCTGGCATCTGGCCCTTATGCCCCGCCTCAGCCTGCTGCACGAAGAGCTTCAAAGATCATCTGACCTCTCAAAGCTGCCTAAAATGCATTTAAAAAACCTGCTGCTGCAGTCAAGGCTCCCGAAGGCTTCATCTAGCCTCAGCAGTGCCTTGGGGTGCTCGAGCTGCAGCTTTCAAGGGCCCTGAGCTTTTGCAGTTTTGCCGCAGCAGGTCCAGTCAGCTCTTTGGCCTTGCTGTGCTGCTCTGAGCCTGGGCTATTCTCGCTGGCTGCCCCACGCGCTTACCCGCAGCCCTCTTGGGGGCCCCCAAGCATAGGGGACCCCCACCCCAATGTCGGGGCCCCCCCCACTGTGGGGGGGCCCTTCCAGCGTTTTGGGGTCTTTGCTCCCACTTGAAGTGGCCCCGGATTCTGGGGCTGTGGCTGCATGCCTTAGGGCCTCAGACCGAGGCCTCAAGGCCAGGGGCTTTTCAGCATTCGTTTGGCCTCTTGTGCTGTACCTCCATTCAATTGTACAGGGGGGCCCTCTGTGCTGCTCTGGGGGCCCACAGCTCTGGCTGTTTATATTTGTAAACAGCCAACTGTTTATGAATAAGTGCTCTTCTGGATTTGTTTTTACTTTTGAGACTTAGATACACAGGAAGCGCTGCAAATAGAAAAAGAAATGAATGGATAAATTAAACATCTCCACGGTTTTCTATATTATAGAGGCAAAGTGCATTTCTTGTTCACAAAGCAGAGCAATAAATATGAGGGGCACCACAGCACAAACACAGGCTTTTAAAGCCTGGAAAAAGACAGAAGCGAATTACCGAGGAACCCACTTAGTGTCACAGATCCAACAGCTGTTTCTTACACCTTTTTGTTTCTTCTTAAGCAGGATAAAAAACATAAATGAAAGGGCTGGAAATGGACACATTTGGAGGAGACAGAAGCAAAATGAGGGACAAGGGGGGGCAAGAGAGGTCAAAAACGAAGAGAAAAGACTGCAAAGAATGAGCCAATTGGAATCAAGATTCTGGCCTCTGCTGCAGCGATCCGAGCATTTATTGCGCGACGCAAATTAACTAATGCATAGAGCTGAGGGCCTGCGACGTGGACTTTTCAAGGGCCTCCCACCTGCTTAAGAGAAACAAAAGACTAAAAGGTGAAATAAGGAAAGAAAAAAAATGAAATAAAAAGAGGCAAAACGAAAGAAATGGGAAAGATGTAGGGGGCCAGCAAAAGCAACATAGAAGAGAGCTTCAAACGAAAGAAAGGCTCGAAAGAGGCATTTGAAGTGCAGACCAGATAAACAAAATGACTTGGGATAAATAAATGAATTCAAATAAAGGCGCTAGGGAACATGAAGGCGTCTGTAAAGATCGGATAAATGAAAAGGAGAAAATCTGACAAAAGAAAGAAAAAGAAAACAATACAGCCAAGCGACAGAGGCACACACTTACGCAAAAAACGAAGCAAGTAATTAGGGCCAAAGAGAAGAAAAGGAATGCACAGAGGAGTCAATAAGAGGCAAAAAGTAAAAGCTGAAGTGAGCCAAAGGATGCGGCGAGCCTTTGCTCTATTGCCATTATTACTAAGCAGCAAATGATCAGTTAGCGGCCAAATAAAGAAACAAAAGACCTGGAATAGAAAGAAATCTAATTAACAACCAAAAAGAGGGAGATTTTATGACAAATAAGAAAAACAGGCTTTGGTTCCCAAGTGACCCCCACGCCCACCCGGGGAACTCACGCAAACCAAAAAGCATGCTAGGGGATCAAATATGTTTTCTCTTTATTTCGAAAAAATAAAAAAATGTAATAGATTTTCTAATGACAAAATTAATCAGCCATAGGTTCCCACACTCGCTTGACCAGCGGCCTCTAGGGGCCCCCCTTTGGGTCCTTGGGGCCCCTGAGGATTCGTGTTTGTTTGATTACGCTATCTCCCAGAAGTTTTCCCTATATTTAAATCAATTTTAATGATGAAATGGAATTGTTTGCTCCCGCAAGATCAGTTTCTGCCCCCTTTTCCCGCTTGGTCTCAAGAAACGAACCCAGGATCCGACAAGTCCTGATCTGGACCTTCTGCTGGGCGAGCAGCAGCCCCAGCAGCAATCTGCCCAGTACCCTTTTTTAAGAAATCTCGGGGGCCCCCAAGCAG